TATCTATCACCAATTTACCATAAAAATTCCTACAAATATTAATCTACATAATATCAAGCTTTCCAATTTGAATTTATGCACCTATCATTGTAACATCTAACTGTGAACCAACTATACCAACAGATAGATAGCATCTTTGTGAACCTAACAAATTTTGTTTCACTATTTTTAGACATCTACAAGATTTACTATAAATTATCAAAGTTCAGCTCAAAACTAAATTGAATAAGGATTTCCTAATTTACTAGAAATTGGAAAACACATTCCTTAGCGCAGCCCACAAGCGAGCAGCACAGCCCACTACCATGCCCCCCCCCCGAGCAGCACCAACGCAAAAGGGACCCCGGCCTTTAGCTAAATGAATCTGCAGTCCCTTCTACTATGCCACTCCCTCACTGACGCTCGCACTTAACCCCCCGACTCATTTCGAATTTATGTTACGACGTCCCTGGCCGGATTTAATAGAGGCCGTGGCATCTCTGGCCAACGCCGGCGAGCACAGACCTCCTTGGCAGCAATATTCGCCACCGAGACACTCCTCAACGCAAGCGAAGTCGAAAGAGGTATCAATCATCACGACTGGTGGCGTACAGAGGCATGGCCATGCACCACGGCGGGATTTGGCCGCGGTGACGCCGACACCGGCTAAACGTCAAGCCCAGCGCTACCATTACTACCTAGCCTCCCTTCCTAGAGTACCGCTAACACCCTAGAGGTTCTAGATACACCCGTTCTACTCCCAATCAAACCAGCTACGGACACAGCGACAATGGCAACACGACGTCCGTCGGCGGTGGCCACGCGCTCCTACGAGCCTCGGCCCCAACCGACTCAACCAGCTACCCTAAGAGCAGGAGGGCCTCACCGGAGACACGTAGGACGGCTTGGATGAGGTCGCGGGGCACGGCAAGGCGACTGGCCATGTACGCGGGGTCGCTCTGGTTCACGGCAAGCACGGTGACGACGTTCCCGGTGACCTGCTGCTCCACCGACGACACCGCTACACGGGCGAGGCAACCAAGTCAATCACGACGCAAAGCACAACTCAATTGAAACAATGGAGCACAGCGCGACGCCCTAGCTGTGCGCCCTCCTCGATGGCCATGGCGGACCGCCACGAGGGGAACGCCCCGCATTACCTCACTGTAGGACGAACGCTCGTTGGGACGACTCCAATCGGAAGCTAACTACCCAAGCTCGTTGTGTGCACAGTTAATTGGAAGGATGTGGAGTACGTAAGGCCAATTGCTTGGGCGAAGCCGTTCGGACTTATGGTGGCCGGCGATGGCGAAAACTTAAATCGACGCCCCGACATCGTACTATCGCAATAGTGGTGGGTTAGGCACAAAGCTGTACTCTCACCCGACCTCCAAACGTGCGCGGTAACCAGGATGGGGCCAGCTCAGTGGTTTGGCCTTGGCGCGGCTCGGCCGGCCGGTGACCTTCCAGACGACGTGATGGGAAACTTGGCGTAGCCTCGCGCGCAAACGTGAAAGCAAGGGCAAGCCCACGCGTGCGCAGCCGAAACGTCAGCGGGAGCAGTAACCGCGAGGTAGTGGCGGATGGCGCACAGCGCAACCGGGGTGCAGTGCGACGTGTCGGTGAACCGTGGGCTCAGGCGGACGCGATGGATGAGGCAGGGCAGCCAGGCTTGCTGGGCCCAACATGTGCGTGTGCGAGCGGGTAGCGTGGGTGCACCTAGGCGAGCGGTGACACCGGCCGGGTCATGGTCACCGCGCCCAGACATCGAAATCAACTGGGAACGTGCCTTGCACACATTTTAAAGTTGCTACAAAAACCAACTCGATGATCCAGTAACTACACCACCTATTTTATGCTCTAGCTGGTATATCAAGCTACTAGAGGAAACCCTAAAACTATGCCACTACCTAATCCAATCGTTCTACAAAAATTTCCGAACTTTGCTTTGTCGATCCGTTTCTCGACTTAGGAATTTCAACCAAAACACGATCGGATTCGCGTCGAATCTGATTTCCAAGCCATTCGATACACTAGCTAGCGAATCCCGTTCTCGACCGCACGTATTTCATCGCCACCTACAAAGCTCATGCTACAACTTTACCAAGGTTTCGTAGATGTGTTCCATAGCATTTCTGTTCAATAAAGATTAATTTAGAACCCTAAGTAATACAACATGACATGAAATGTACATGCATTTCGTGTTTCAAATGAACGTTTCAAGTCCCGTATATTGCTTTATACCCTATATTACATACATGTACACACAAGTATAATGCTCATGCAGTGTTTTAGTAAAAAGCTATACAGTGTAACACCAAGGGTGTTACAAATCTACCCCCCTAAAACAAAATCTTGACCCGAGATTTCATGTGCCTAGTGTGAGAAGGAGATAGGATGTACATTTCAACGTAACAACTACTCATCAGAACCAGAGAGAAGGTGGGGGTAATGCTTCAATATGTAACTCTCTTGTTTCCACATGGCCTCATCTTCTGAATGGTTTTGCCACTATACCTTGTAGAACTTTACCACACTGTTTCTGGTCACTCTTTCTTTTTCATCTAGGATTTTGACAGGGTGCTCAACATAAGTCAAATTAGGCTGGAGGGAAAGCCCTTCAATTTCCACAGTTTCTTCAGGAACCCACAAACATTTCTTCAATTGTGACACATGAAACACATTGTGTACCGCAGATAAAATATCGGGGAGTGGGAGACGATAAACAACTGGGCCACACTGTGCCAACACATGGTAAGGACCCACATATCGAGGGGCTAGCTTGCCATGGATACTAAACCGATGCACCCCTCTCATAGGAGACACCTTAAGGTACACATAATCCCCAACTTCAAACTCCAAGGGCCTTCTTCGCTTGTCTGTATAAGCTTTCTGTCGGCTCTGAGCTACCTTCAAGTGACTCTGAATAATGCTCACTTGCTCTCGAGCCTCTTTGATGAATTCTGGCCCAAAGTATCCATGGTCTCCCACTTCAACCCAGTTAAGTGGTGTCCTACACTTTCTTCCATATAGAGCTTCAAATGGTACCATGCGGATGCTTTCTTGGTAGCTATTATTGTAAGAAAATTCAGCTAACTTCAGGCATTCATCCCACTTCTCAGGAAAAGAAATGGTACATGCTCTTAACATATCCTCGAGCACCTGGTTCACCCTTTCGGTTTGGCCATCAATCTGGGGGTGATAGGCTGAACTACGGAGGAGACTAGTTCCCAGACACTCATGGAGTTGCTCCCAGAAGCGAGAGACAAAAACTGATCCCCTATCAAAGATGATAGTAAGGGGAACTCCGTGTAGGGTCACAATCCGATCAAAGTATATCTCCGCATACTTCTTGGCTATAAATGAAACCTTCACTGGGATAAAGTGAGCAGACTTAGTGAGACGGTCCACAATGACCCAGATAGAGTTATAGCCCTTGGCCATGCGGGGTAAACCCATAATGAAATTCATGGAAATATCTGTAGGAATATGAGGTAGGATACGCTAGCACAAAAATATTTCTACCGCGTAAAATAGGAACACTATTGTTACAGATCACGGGATTACCACTAGACGCGCAGATGTGGAAGTTGATGAGGCGCGTCGGGGTAGTGTAGTCGATCACCGCGTCGAAGTAGAGTAGTCGATCGCCTCCACGTCAAACGTTCAGCGACGTCCTCCTCGTGCAGCGGCTTGTCCAAGTGTTACAGATGCAACACCTCCAAGGTATCCACACGTGCAGGGAGGAAGCGTCGCAAGTCGGACTGCTAGATCCACGAGTGCAACTCGGTGAGGGCTTGGGAAATGAACAGCTACTGGGTGTGGAAGATGGAGCAGCAACTGCTGCGCCAAAAGGGTCCAAAACCTAAGCCGCCCCCACCCCTCAATATATAGAGGTCCCTGACAGGCCTCTAGGTCCGAGGCCCATTAGTACTTCTAAACTTGGTCCAATTTGGATCAGATCCTCATTGGGCTTCTAGCCCCTTAAGTGTGCGACCCTATAGGTTCACATACGTATAGACATGACATGAGTACTTCTACTCGACCAATAGTTGGTAGCGGCCTCTAGCAAGGCATGCCAACTCCTATACGCACACGAAGATCATATCAGACGAACCATCACAACATCATGTACATGCTATTCCCTTTGCCTCATGATATTTGGTCTAGCTCCAAGCCGACCTCTCTTTCTCGATCCTGTGATTCAAAATCCCTTTATAGGTTAACTCTTAACCTCACGTAGCATGGCCATGCATTTTCGGATTCGATCACTCGAGGGGCCCAGAGATATCTCTCTCAAGTAGAGAGGGGCAAATTCCATCTTGATTGATCATGCCTCACAACATGCTTCCTAACAAACCCGAAAGCTACCTTTATAACTACCCAGTTACGGAGTAGCGTTTGACAGCCCCTAAGTAAGTCAATTCACATCTTGAGTGCATGCAACAATCTCAGGTCTAAGGACAAAGCGTACACGTTGTGTAAAGAGAACTATGTAACTATATCTCATGTTGGGTCGGTCCTAGCACATGTCTGTACACGTGCCCACATTGTTAGTTTGACATCTTCATGTCCATGACTTGTGAAACATAGTCATCAGCTAATACATGTACTAGTCTAATATTCATGTGTGTCCTCACATGAACTCCAACTAGGGACAACTTTAGAATAACCATACAAGTAAAGAGTTTCACATACAATTCACATAATTGCAAATCAATTCAAGTAGCCTTTAATGGATATTCAAGGAACACAATATGAAACATGGATACAATGGAATATCATCATTTCTATGATTGCCTCTAGGGCATATCTCCAACAGTCTCCCTCTTGCACTAGAGTCTATCTAGAAGATATCTAATACCCATAGCTCTCATGTGCGCCTCATGCTTAGGCTGTGGAAGAGCCTTTGTCAAAGGATCTGCAACATTCAAATCTGTGTGTATCTTGCACATCTTGATCTCATCGCGTCTAACGAACTCTCGAATGAGGTGAAAATTCCGTAGTACTTGTTTGTTCTTTTAGTGATTCCTTGGCTCCTTAGCCTGCGCAATTGCCCCATTGTTGTCACAATGTAGATTCAATGGGTTGGACGCATTCGGAAACACACCAAGTTCAATGAGGAACCTCCTCATCCAAACACCTTCCTTCGTAGCTCTAGAAGCTGCAATGTACTCAGCCTCTGCTGTAGAATCTGTCACCGTCTCCTGCTTGGAACTTTTCCAACTTACAGCCCCACCATTTATTGTGAACACAAAACCTGATTGAGACTGTGAATCATCCGTGTCAGTTTGGAAGCTAGCATCGGTGTAACCATTTACAACGAGCTCCTCCTCACCTCCATAGATTAGGAACACATCTTTAGTCCTTCTCAAGTACTTAAGAATGTTTTTAACAAGTGTCCAATGACTCTCTCCTGGATCAGCTTGGTATCTGCTAGCAACACTTAGAGCATATGAGACATCTGGGCGAGTACATATCATGGCGTACATGATGGAACCAACTGCCGAGCCGTATGGAACCTTACTCATGCGCTTCCGCTCATCAGCTGTCGAAGGACACTGTTTATCGCTAAAGCGCATACCATGTGACATAGGCAACAACCCTTTCTTGGATTGTTCCATGTTGAACCGTTTCAACACCTTGTCAATGTACGTATCTTGGCTTAATCCTATAAGCCTCTTCGATCTATCTCTATAGATCTTGATGCCCAAAATGTATGTTGCTTCTCCTAAATCCTTCATAGAAAAATATTATTCAGTGAAATCTTTACGGATTGCAACATAGGAATGTCATTCCCAATCAATAATATGTCATCCACATACAAGATCAGAAATACAACAGCGCTCCCACTTTCCTTCTTGTAAACACAAGGTTCTTCTTCATTCTGACGGAAGCCAAACCCTTTGACCACTTCATCAAAATGAATGTTCCAACTCTGAGATGCTTGCTTTAACCCATAAATGGATTTCTGAAGCTTGCAAATTTTTCTAGCATTGTTTGGATCAACAAAACCTTTGGGTTGTATCATATACACGTCCTCATCCAAATTTCCATTTAGAAAGGCTATTTTAACATCCACCTGCCATATCTCATAATCAAAATAAGCAGCTATTGCTAGAATGATCCAGATAGATTTAAGCATCGCTACCGGCGAGAAAGTCTCGTCGTAGTCAATTCCTTGAACTTGCCGAAAACCCTTTGCAACAAGTCGAGCTTTATAGATGTGAACGTTTCCATCCATATCCTTTTTCTTTTTATAGATCCATTTGCATTCTATGGGTCTAACCCCATCAGGCGGGTCAACCAAGTTCCAAACTTGATTGTTTCCCATGGAATCTATCTCGGATCTCATGGCACTTTGCCATTTCTCGGAATCTGAGTCCATCATTGCTTCCGCATAAGTTGCAGGTTCATCATCGTCTAACAATAACAAATCCCCACGCAACTCATGGATCCTTGCTGACCTTCGTGGTTGTGGTGGTGTTTCTATTGCCACGGGTATCTGAACTTGTTCTGCTACATTAACATCACTCGTAGAGTCCTTCCCAACTGGCTCATCTTGAACTTCTTCAAGATACACCTTCTGTCCACTTTTCTCTCTTTTGAGAAACTCTTTCTCTAGGAAAACACCGTTCTGAGCAACAAACACTTTGCCCTCTGATCGGTTGTAGAAGTAATACCCTAAAGTTTCCTTCGGATATCCCATGAAAAAGCATTTGTCTGACTTGGGTGTTAGTTTATCTGTCATAAGTCGTTTGACATAAACTCACAACCCCAAATTTTTAGAAAAGACAAACTGGGACTCTTACCAGTCCACATCTTATGTGGTGTCTTAACTACAGACTTAGACGGTACCCTATTCAATGTGAAAGCGGCTGTTTCTAGAGCGTATCCCCAAAATGATAACGGTAGGTCTGATTGGCTCATCATAGACCGAACCATGTCCAACAAAGTCCGATTACGTCGCTCGGACACGCCATTTCTCTGAGGCGTTCCAGGTGGCGTAAGCTGTGGAACAATTCCAAAACTCTTTAGATGATTGCTAAACTCGTGGCTCAAATATTCGCCTCCACGATTAGATCGCAAAGCCTCAATTTTCTTGCCACGTTGATTCTCTACTTCACTCTGAAACTCCTTGAATTTTTCAAATGTCTCAGACTTATGTTTCATTAAGTAGACATAGCCATATCTACTAAAGTCATCAGTGAAGGTTATGAAGTATTGGAATCCGCCTCTTGCTGTCGTACTCATTGGTCCGCACACATCAGTATGTATGAGTTCCAGCAAGTCTGCCGCTCTCTTAGGAAAACCTGTGAAAGGCGTCTTGGTCATCTTGCCCAGCAGGCAAGCTTCACATGTCTCATATGATTCAAAATCAAACGAAGTTAAAAGCCCATCAGAATGGAGCCTCTTCATGCGATTCTCACTTATATGACCTAAACGACAATGCCACATATAGGTAGGACTTAACTCATTAAGCCGAGGCTTTTTAGCACTTATATTATAGACAGGTGAATCATCAAGACTTAAAACAAACAATCCATTCACAATGGGTGCAAAAGCCATAAACATATTATTCTTAGAGATCACACAACCATTGTTTTCACTCGCAAATGAATAACCATCCTTCATCAAGCACGAAGGAGACATAATGTTTCAACTTAAACTTGGAACGAAATAACAATTATTCAACTCCATGATAAATCCTGACAGGAGTGAAGTTGCATCGTCCCGACGGTCAACACAGCAACCCTTGCATTATTGCCCACGCGGAAATCAACTTCTCCTCTTTCAACGCTTCTACTTTTTATCAGTCCCTGCATCGAATTGCAAATATGAGCAACCGATCCGGTATCAAATACCCAAGAATTAATAATTGTATCAGCAAGAAATATGTTGTCTATAACATTAATAACAAGCGTACCTGAGGTGGAAGTACTCTTACTCCCGCCATTCTTCAACGAAGCTAGATACTACTTGCAATTTCTCTTCCAATGACCAAGTTCGTGACAATAAAAACACTCTTTGTCTGGAGCAGGTCTAGCTTTAACCTTGGGCGCTGGGTTTGGCTTAGAATTCACAGCCTTGCCCTTCTTCTTCCAAGAATTGCCCTTCTTCTTAAAGCTAGGCTTGTTCTGTATTGCCATCACATGGCTGCTTCCAGCGCTTTTCTTAATGTCACCCTCTGTTGTTTTAAGCATGCCGCATAGTTCATTCAGACCCTTCTCCGCCCCATGCATATGGTAGTTCGAGATGAAGTTTTCATAGCTAGGCGGAAGAGATGAAAGAATGAAATCAGGGGCCAACTCTTGGCCCAGTGGGAAGCCCAGCTTCTCCAAGCGTTGAACATAACCAACCATCTTGATTATGTGTGGCCCTACTGCTGCACCTTCTGCTAGCTTGCTTTCCACAAAAGCCTTAGACACATTGAACCTTTCAGTCCTAGCCTGTGTCTAGAACATGTCTCTAAGCGCCACGATCATATCGTATGCCGCATGATTTGTTTCAAACTGCATCTGCAGTTCGGGTTCCTTACAAGCAAGCATAAGGCAGCTTACTTCGAGATTAGCATCACATTCTTTCTTGTAAGCATTCTTAATGGCAGCAGGTGCATCATCAACAGGTTCTTCTGGTAATGGGGTGTCTAGAACATCTTCCTTTTTATCAGCCCTGAGAACAATTCTTAGGTTACGGATCCAACCCATGTAGTTTGTTCCATTCAACTTGTCCTTCTCAAGAACTGAACGCAAAGCAAACGGTGTGGTGTTGCTAGGTGCCATTAATCTACAACAAATAATAATGCAAAATACTAAGATAAAAGTATCCATGACAGAATAAATCACATTAAACTTTTAATAGACTCTACTCCCACTAAAATCAATATCCCTCTATTGATACTTAGTGATTCATGATCCACAACTAACAAGTCTACTAGTGAGATTTAGCATCACCGCTAGCAGTCAAGGTAGATCGGTAAGCAACTCTTTGCTAATCATATTACATATGACTCCTGTTGTTGGGTGACATCTCCATGTCTTGGCGCCAACCTTCATGCCCCAAAGTCCTTAACCGTTAAGATGACCTTATTAAGCAAACCAACCCTTATGCGTGTAAGTATCCGATACCAACCTGTCTAGTCAAGGAAAACCAGTGGCACCCTAATTTCATAGACCCACCACCAATTGTACAAGACACATGACAGTGCAAGGTTTGGGGAGGCATTTTAACTTAAACATTTCTGAGGGATCATTCTACTTCACCATCGCATGTAGACAAAACATTATCGCACGTGAAAGTAGAATATAGTAAGATCGGCATTAACACAGATATGACATGGTATAGCCCATTGTTCCTTTGGGGATCTCCATCTCCATCGAACTGTTCCTCATGATGATCTCCATCTCCATGATCCATGTATGCCATCCTTCAGTGATGAGTCCACCAAGACTAGCTATCACTAACGTAGGGCAGTGAAGAAAATTACATAGTCGCGGATAGGATCATCACAGTTTGGCATGCAGGCCATTACATCAAATTAACAATATCTTTGTGGCTCCAGCCATATTGTCATACTCACGACATGCAAGCCATGAATTAATTACATACATGCATCACATACACATAAGGGCTATACCAGTCTTAAGCTCCTGCAAAACAGAGTTAACTGATTCCGACGTCTAATCTTAAAACGCCAAAAACACCATCTTCCCGGCCGTTTTTCGCAAATCTAATTTTAGCGAAACCGCCAAAGGGGGTGAGAATCGGATGTAATTTTTTCTGTAGATCAATTTTCACATAAAATTCGTCTCAATCCGAGGTCGTATGCAAAAGTTATGGCTGTTTTACCGAACAACACTTTTTCTTGCACCCCGACACCCGACAGTAGATCCAATCTATCACCGCTGCGCATCACATGCGCTCGGCACTTGACCTAAGTTCGATTCGATCAATCTGATTGATCTCCATCTTGCCATGATTGGATTTACATGTATCACTTAACTCGGATGGTGGAATTCCGACCGGTACGAGTAGATCGTTACAATACCAACATGGTAAAATCACGAACCATGATCAGAGACTCATCTACAACCACGCATATCTCCATATGCACACATCCCGAATCCATAACAAAATAGCATCGGCTCTGATACCACTGTAGGAATACAAGGTAGGCTACGCTAGCACAAAAATATTTCTACCGCGTAAAACAGGAACACTGTTGTTACAGATCACGGGATTACCACTAGACGCGCAGATGCGGAAGTTGATGAGGCGCGTCGGGGTAGTGTAGTCGATCACCGCGTCGAAGTAGAGTAGTCGATCGCCTCCACGTCAAACATTCAGCGGCATCCTCCTCGTGCAGCGACTCGTCCAAGTGTTGCAGATGCAACACCTCCAAGGTATCCACACGTGCAGGGAGGAAGCGTCACAAGCCAGACTGCTAGATCCACGAGTGCAACTCGGTGAGGGCTTGGGAGATGAACAGCTGCTGGGTGTGGAAGATGGAGCAGCAACTGCTGCGCCAAAAGGTTCCAAAACCTAAGCCGACCCCACCCCTCAATATATAGAGGTCCCTGACAGGCCTCTAGGTCCGAGGCCCATTAGTACTTCTAAACTTGGTCCAATTTGGATCAGATCCTCATTGGGCTTCCAGCCCCTTAAGTGTGCGACCCTATAGGTTCACATACGTATATACATGACATGAGTACTTCTACTCGGCCAATAGTTGGTAGCGACCTCTAGCAAGACATGCCAACTCCTATACGCACATGAAGATCATATCAGACGAACCATCACAACATCATGTACATGCTATTCCCTTTGCCTCACAATATTTGGTCTAGCTCCAAGCCGACCTCTCTTTCTCGATCCTGTGATTCAAAATCCCTTTCTAGGTTAACTCTTAACCTCACGTAGCATGGCCATGCATTTCCGGATTCGATCACTCGAGGGCCCCAGAGATATCTCTCTCAAGTAGAGAGGGGCAAATTCCATCTTGACTAATCATGCCTCACAACATGCTTCCTAACAAACCCGAAAGCTACCTTTATAACTACCCAGTTACGGAGTAGCGTTTGACAGCCCCTAAGTAAGTCAATTCACATCTTGAGTGCATGCAACAATCTCAGGTCTAAGGACAAAGCGTACATGTTGTGTAAAGAGAACTATGTAACTATATGTCGTGTTGGGTTGGTCCTAGCACATGTCTGTACACGTGCCCACATTGTTAGTTTGACATCTTCATGTCCATGACTTGTGAAACATAGTCATCAGCTAATACATGTACTAGTCTAATATTCATGTGTGTCCTCACATGAACTCCGACTAGGGACAACTTTAGAATAACCATACAAGTAAAGTGTTTCACATACAATTCAGATAATTGCAAATCAATTCAAGTAGCCTTTAATGGATATTCAAGGAACACAATATGAAACATGGATACAATGCAATATCATCATCTCTATGATTGCCTCTAGGGCATATCTCCAACAATATCTTCCCATTTCTACACAGGAATGGGCATGGGCTGCAAATATCCTAGAGTATGCATATGATCTGCTTCAACTCTCCCACAAGTGTCGCACTCCGCGATGTGCTGGGTGATATCCTGTTTCATGTTGGACCACCAGTACAAGTGGCACAAATCATGGTACATCTTGTTGCTTCTAGGATGAATAGACAGCTTTGAATGGTGAGCTTCATTCAAAATCTTCATTCTCTGCTCCTCACTGGATGGAACCACCAGTCTATCCTTGTACCTCACTACACCATGCTCATCAACACTAAAGTGAGGGCCACGCCCTTCGACAATCAATTTTCTGATATGCGGAATTTCTTCAGGATCTTGCCTTTGCTCCAGAATAATCTGCTCCAGCAATTCTGAGGTCAATGCAATGTGAGCCAACACCTCTGCATGGTTGAGAGACAAAGGTGTTTCCTCAACCTGATGTGACTTTTGGGTCAAAGCATCAGTTACAACATTGGCCTTTCCTAGGTGATAATGGACTTCCAAGTTATAATCCTTTATCAATTCTAACCATCTCCTTTGCCTCATATTCAGCTCAGACTGAGTGAAAATATACTTGAGGCTCTTGTGAGACGTAAAGATATACACTTTGTTGCCCAACAGATAGTGCCTCCAAATCTTTAGAGCGTGGACCACAGCAGCCAGCTCTAAGTCATGAGTAGGGTAATTCACTTCGTGCTTTTTCAGTTGGCGCAAAACATAAGCCATCACACACCCATCTTGCATCAGCACGCATCCCAACCCTATCTTCGAGGCATCACAGTATACATCAAAGGGCCTATCAATATCTGATTGGGCCAACACAGGAGCAATGGTCAGAAATGTCTTCAAAGCTTGGAAGGCTTCTTCACAGGCTGGGCTCCAGTCAAACTTGGCTTCTTTTTGGAGCAGCTTGGTCATTGGCTGGGCTATCTTGGAGAAATCTAAGATGAAACGCCGATAGTACCTAGCGAGACCAAGGAACTGATGAATCTGGTGCACAGACTTAGGAGACTTCCAATCCAACACATCTTGCACCTTACTGGGATCTACTAAAACGCCGTCAGGTGTCAACGCATGCCCTAAGAACTGCACTCGATCTAACCAGAACTCATACTTACTGAATTTAGCATACAACTTGTGCTCCCTTAGTCGAGCCAGTACTATCCGAAGGTGTTGGGCATGCTCTTCATCATTCTTGGAATATATCAGGATATCATCAATGAATACTACCACAAACTTATCCAGCTCCGGCATAAAGACTAAATTCATCAGGTACATGAAGAATGTAGGAGCGTTGGTAAGACCAAAAGACATTACTAGGTACTCGTACAACCCATACCTAGTAGAAAAAGCTATCTTTGGTATATCTTGTGGTCTGATCTTAATCTGATGGTAGCCTGAACGAATGTCAATTTTGGAGAACACCTTGGCTCCAGCTAGTTGATCGAACAAAGTATCTATGCGGGGCAAAGGATACCTGTTCTTAATTATTACCGCATTAAGAGGGCGGTAATCCACACACATTCGTAGAGTGCCATCCTTCTTCACAAAAATGGCTGGGCAACCCCATGGTGAAGAACTAGGACGGATGAAACCTTTTTCCATCAACTCTTCTAGCTGCTTCTTCATCTCAGCCAATTCCCTTGGAGCCATGCGGTACGGGTGTCTAGAGATAGGAGCGGTACCAGGCTCTAGCTTAATGGAGAATTCCACCTCTCTGTCCGGTGGCAACCCAGGTAGATCTTCAGGGAATACATCCAAGAACTCACCTACTACCGAAATAGAGGTAAGATCAGGAGAGGCTTCAGCATGGGCAGCAACAGGTAAGACTAGATCTGAGGGTACAAGAAGAGACATCCCATCCTCAGAAGAAGGAAGACGTAACTCGACACTTCTCCGCTTCAAATCCAAGACTACCCCATACACCCGCAACCAGTTCATTCCAAGGATTGCATCAATGCCTTGCCCGGGCAGTACCATGAACTGTAGGCGGTAAGTGTGGGTGGCTAATACCAAGCTTACTGTGTCTGTCTGGGTATTGATGCACATATGCGAACATGCAGTATGGATTCTATAGGCATACGGTATGGCCATAAGTGTTATATTGTGCCGATCTACAAATCCCATGCTCATAAAGGAATGTGATGCACCAGAATCGAACAACACATAAGCTGGATGTGAATCGATGGTAGACATACCAGCCATCACCGGTTCCTGTTGCAATATCTGCTCAGCATCTGTGAAATTCACCTGTCCGGATCAGCTGGCTGGCACTTTCTTCTTGATCACGGTCCTCCTGACTAGCCTAGAGTTCACTGATGGATGTGCAGACTGAGCTGGCTGGTTCTGGGGACACTCTCAGGCATAGTGGTCATCTTTTCCACATTTGGAACAAGCGCCAGGCTTGTTCCCCAATCCTAGGCGAGGTGGGACCTACTGTCCCTAAGGCTGCTGGGGCTGCACCTGCTGAGTGGGTGCACGGTACTGTGTGGAAGAAGTCTGAGAAGTATGCTGGGGCTGCCGAAATGAATGCCCGCCTGATGATTGATAGGGCTCCCATCGAACAACCTGTACCTTCTGAGTATGAGGGTGGCTAGAAGACCCTGCAGCCACCCGCTTTCTCTTCCACTCTGCCTGGGAATCCCGCTGCAAGCCCTCCATGGCGATGGCCGCATTCATCATTGCCCCGAAGGTCGGATAGTTTCTAGTGTACAATTTCTCCTGAAGGATGTAAGAGAGGCCACGATAGAAGGGGTCCTTCTTCTTCTCGTCAGTGTCCACATGAATGCCAGCATACTGGGACAAGTGATTGAACTTATTGACGTAGTCCATCACTATCATACTCCCTTGTCGTAGTTCTAGGAACTCAGTCAACTTCCAGTTGAGGACACCAGCAGGAATATAGAACTCT